CCACTAAGGTGAGGGCAAGACATTGAGGTGCCTGATATAATATTGAATCTGGATTTGGTGTTTCTGTTGTCATCCACAGAGATGGGCCAAGCAGCAAGGATATTAACACCAGGACCGATTATGTCAGGTTTCAAGATGCCAGGACTAGCTTCACTTGGTCCGCGAGAAGAAAATGCAGCTACTATGGGAGCATTTTTATCTCCAATTACTGTTCCTTGGAATGTGATTGTAGCGACAGGGTTCGATGTTGAGTTCATATAAGAAAGGATTTTTTTTCCATCTGCAGCTGAAACATCCATTGCTGGAAGAACATGAGCATCAGCTGATTTAGTGGCACCGTAACTTGGCTGGTTAATGATAATCATGCCAACACCTCCAGCATCCTTCACAGCTTGTCCTTTATCAATATTGGAAACGACATCATCTTGTAGACATAATACTATCTTTCCTCTTATAGCAGGGTCAGTGAGTGACCCTGGTTTGCAATAAGGAGTTTCACTTGCATTTTTTGCAGCATCAAATAGAGTGAAGAATGTTGAGTTGGAAATCTTTGGACGATAAGCAGATTCTCCTTCATATTTCTCTCTATTTCCAAGTTTAACAGTAGCTTTTATCTTTCTATCAACTGTGCTGGCACCTACTGTAAGGATCCACGGGGCTGCATTTCCTACCGAGGCAGTAGAAGGACCATCATTGCCTGCAGCACAACTTACAAGAATGCCTCTTTCTGTTGCACTGTACGCCCCGAGAGCAATATTGTCGTCATAGAAAGGGCTCGGAGATCCACCCAGGGATATTGAAAGAATATCTACTCCATCATCTATAGCTGAATCTATGGCAGCTAAAATATCACTGTCAGAACACTTGCCATCGGAACCACATACCTTATATATGGCTATATGGGCAAGAGGAGCAACACCAACTGCAGTGCCATTAGCATTCCCAAATACATTAGCACCATTCACAAAGGTTCCTGCAGCTGTGCCCGCTGTGTGTGTACCATGTCCATTATCATCTATCAAAGAACCATTGGCAAGTTGGTAAGACCTGGCTCCAATGAGCTTGTTGTTACACTTGGTTTTGAAATTGGACTCACAAACTCCTTTCCACTTAGCAGGTGGAGGAGGCATCCCACCGTCGCTAAACGAAGGATGGTCAGGATAAATTCCAGTGTCTATAACTCCGATGATCACGCCTTTCCCATAGTTGGAATCCTTCCACAAGCCCATGTTCTGTTGCAAACCAAGAAAGCTTGGAGTATGAGTAGTATGCAAGGTGAAAATCCTCTGTTTCTGAGCAGAGACAAAGCCGTGTTTCTTCTCCATTTCCTTCACTTGTGCTGCTGTTAATCTTGCTGAAAATCCTTTCATCACATTGTGAAAGGAATAGAGCATGCTAGCAGGCTCTTCATTTCCACTTGAGCTGATTGTTGTAGTTTTAGGCAAAAAAGAAAGATAATAGTTGTCTAAATCTGTTACCGATGATTGAGTAGAAATTACGCTTTCAGGGGATTCAACATTGACTATATAAGTCTCGAGATCATTCTGAATAGTAGGCCATGGGAAAGAACAAAAGATGAAAACAAGAAAGATTTTCAAGAATCCCATGGCTGCTAATACAAGAAATGATATTGTTTTTAGAAAGTGTATTTGATGAATTTCTCTGCTTTGAAGCTACTCTCTATTTATAGTGTTTTGTTATTGACCTATTCAATTTCTAGAAAAAATATTGTGGAAAAAAGACCATGTGGATAAGAAAATAAGGTTAGTAGTGTGAATGAGACTACCTAAATTGAACTATATTCTATAGTTTTATTTTCTTAAAGACATCCACTATATTATATTTAACTGCTAAATAATCAATTTGTAATAAAAAAAGTTGCAACTGTCAGATCTGCTTGTTGGTTAAGTGTAGTTGTTTTCAAAAACATGCAGCTATTTTGGATCCTTCTTCGAAGAATTAATCTAAATAGACATCCATCCAACGACTTGAACTAAAATTAGTAGACGGATCATATCATATTATATTATAAGTGGGAAGCCTCTATGTCAAAAGTTGAATTACAAAAATATCCTTATAATATCATAATAATTATGGACAAAAATGTAAATATACATTAAATATAAATAAAAACTATTGTATTTTCTATTAAACACTATTATTACATATTTATGAACAAAAATATAAATACACAATAATTATAATAAATATCATAATATATTTATACAGTTAAAATGACCCTTAAGTGTACCTCAGTTACTCCAACCGTGCAAAGGAATAAAAATTTTCAGATGAATTATATTCATAACATTATATTAAATGCTAAGTAATTGCTTCAATAAATACTTACTATGGAAGCTTGCAATCGTTGAACTTTGATTTTCTTCTGTTATAATTAGCACAAACTAATGATGAATTATATACTTGGTAAATTAATTAAATTTATCTTATAATATATATATATATATATATATTAAAAGTGGAACAAAAAAGTTAAAAGCTGAAATACCAAAATAATCCTATAAAGTTGAGTTACTACAATAATATCAGTATTAATTATTAATTTTATTTCACTAAAAATGAATGCAAAAAAAGTTAAAAGTTGAAATACCAAAATAACCCTATAAAGTTGAGTTATTATTCATAAATAATAACTAATATCCATAATAGTAATGAATCAAAAGTTAGTTTACCATTTTATCCTTGAAGTAAAAGCAAATCTTCATTTCAATAACTTTTGTTTACATAAGAAAATATAACAAAATTCATTTGCCCCTCAAATTCAATGAATCAAATACTATATTAATGCTTTCTGAAAATGTTTACTGCCATAATTTTATTTATCTCTTTCACCTTCTCCTTCACTACATGTTTAGAGGAACAAAAACGTTTGGTGAGGGTGAGGAAGACATTGTGTAACAACAATAAATTATGGTCATGTCACATGTGTATAGGTTCCCTAAATTATTTCACTCATTAAATTTTCTTTCTTTCATCTTTCATAGAGTCTTTTTACATTCTTCATTTATACTTATTAATATTCAATTTCTTGATTTTTACTGGTTGTACATAGGTGTAGTTTTATCTTCTCCGTGATATTTATTCTGGTCCATCTTTTCATATTCTTTAAAATACTCTATAAAGTGCATCATAAGGTGGGTTTGTCCCATTATTTCATTTGCCTTTTTTCGGTTAGATTTCTCCTCCAAGAAGAGTCTACTTCAGGTAAATCTATTCCAATTGATTTAGCTACAAATAGTTTCCACTTTTTGTATTATTGTTAAGCTAGCATCATATTCACTTCTTTTAGTATAATATGTATTTCTGAAAAGCTTATGTTGTAATAAAACTCAAATTCAGATAGATGTAATTGATCCGTGAAATCCTTTGCATATTTGAATTTTGAAGTGTGGGCATGGACTCTGTTTGGATCACACAGGTTCACACTTGACTGTGTGTGTTTGTGTAGTTTATAATTGTATGGAATACACGTGCAAAGCACGTGTCCAAGGACTAGTATTACTATAAGTGGGAACAAAAAGAGTTAAAAGTTGAATTACAGTTTTACCCCTACTATTAATTAAAATATTATAAAATATTTAATTATTTAATTTAAATATTAAATTGTATCATTTTATAAAAATGCTAATGACTTTTGCACTTTCTTAGATTAATTCCTAATTGAAATATCTAATTTAATAATATTTATCATCTATAATCTATATGTATATTTCATCTAATTATCATCATCATCATATCATATCATATCATATCATCGTCATCATATTATATTATCATAATAATAATAACAATAACACACGCACACACGCGTGCACGGGCACACACACGAAAGCATGCACGCACATGCGCACACACACACATATATATCATATATTATTAAAAGTGGGAAGCTCCAAAGATGAAAAGTTGGATTACCATTTTACCCCTAAGCTAAATTAAACACCTAATAATTAAATATTAAATAATAATATTTTAATTATTTTTTGAATGGCAAGTTATTTATTAGAAAGGTAATGTAGAAGAACAAGAGTCAATTAGGATTTCTAGAATTTTAAGTCATATGTAATTGGTAAAATAATTAAAATTGAATAATTGTTCTTAAATAAGTACATGAATCAAGGTTCTCCCCCTTTTAATCTTAAATTAAAGAATATGAAGAGTTGCAGCTAAATCAATATATACCATTATCAAATACAAATTTGTCATCTTGGGTTCTTCCACTAGCGGTTCTATGTACTCCTATGGTAAAGTTCCTTCTTTTCTCCTTTTTTTTCCCCATCTTCTATTGTTTGTTAGTAAGATTTTGATCATTAATATGCAATACTGATATATTACATATATATACCACAACCATTTTAGTTGGATTTTTTTTTTTTTTTTGGTTTTAGCAATGTGTGAATGGGAAATAAGAATGAATGAGAAATTGGAAAATGTAGGGGAACCAATTTGGAGGAAAATGAAAAGTCATTTCAAATGGAAAGTCTTTGAAGATGAAAAGTCATTTCTCCCATATTGGTAGAAGAAAGGAAAAATATTGTCCTTATATCAGGAAACACTTCCTTTAGATCTTAAAGGGTTAAAAGAAGGTGTCTCCTCGCGCTGTCGCCGTTCGCTCTGCTTTGGCTTTGGCAAATGATTTGATTGATAATATTTTTAGGCAAAATTTATTTAATCAATCTCATTAATTAATTTCCTATATTCTCATAAAAATTAATTCAGAATGTTAATTAATTTCGCGCAACAGAATTATTTGAAAAATTCGTGCGTAACGGTAAAGTCGTTCTGAAGGGACTTGTTCCTTCCGAATAGACATTATTTTTCCCAAAAGGCACAACGTTCTGGAAAGACATGTTTGAACAAATGCGTTCACAACATTGTCCGAACAGACGCGTTCCTTATTGCAATTGGCTATAATTAGAGAGGTTTTTCTCATTTTTCAAACACTGAATTTTTTTCTCTCTGCATACATTTTCTTACAAATCAAATTGTCGATCAACTGAGTCTGTGTGTTCTCTCGTTGTTGTTCTTGAGTTCGCTGAAATTATTGAAGTTTGAGGAACTACTATTTCTCTAATAGTTAATCCGTTTTATCTTGGGAGGAATTAATCTACAATCTCGGATACTTGAGGGGATTAAATTTCTTAAGAAAACACAGTGGGTTCTGTGAACTCGGATTATTTATTTTCTGTCTATTTCATCTTTTTCTTTTTAAGATTTTGCTAACCTGAATACAGGAGATAACATTTTTGTCAGATGTAAATTTACATAAGAATCCCCTCCTCCTCATGAGCTATTTTGAGGCCGAGTATTAGAATGAGAATCTCTTTGTATGAATTTGAACAATCCTTATTCTATTAACTATTTGTAAGGGTTTAGGTAGGGTAAATTCATTTCTTATTATATTAGAGCCATATTCGTCCTAATTCTTGATTCATTCCATTTCACTGGACATGCCGAAAGGGGCTAATTAAGAATGAGAATATCTCTTTATACGGATTTGAAGAATCCTTACTCTATTAACTAGTTGTAAGGGTTTAGGTAGGGTAAATTCATTTCTTATTATAATAATGCCACCAATACATAATTGGCCACACACAAATAGCAACAATGCTTTCCATAATTCTTGTTTTTTTTTTGTGTAAATTATAACTAAACTAAAGTTGGTTAGTTTAATTTCTTTGCAAGACAAACACGTACCATGGATGATATACATTGGTCCCCTTCAATTGTAGAATTTGGACTTAGTTTTTTGACATGTATAGTTGGCTATAGATTTCTCGATTGGCCACTATATGTTAAAAAATAAAAGACATTCATTCAAATTAATTACAACGTAACGTTTTTTCCAGGAAATTCATAGGAAATGTCTATTATTTTTCTTGTCTTATTAATAAGTTTAGCATTAATGTCACAATTACTTTTTGAAGTTACCAAAGACTAAGACTTTATTTTTGAAGCCACTGTCAAGATTCTGGATCAAAGGATGCTATATTATATAGGTGACAACAAATTTTCCAAATTTAAGTATGTGGTGCTGCGTTTTTATATGTGGAAATCCATATTTATATATTTATTTTCAATCCACTTGATTCCTTGTGGGGGCACAAAGGACCAACATGGGCTGCTTGAAAAATATATTGTTAAATCAACTTAATAGACATCCATCCAAGGACATAAATTAAAATTAGTGGACGGATATATAATATATGTATTTAATTCATGAATAATAAGTGTATAATCAATATATAATATATGTATATCAAAAAAGGAAAGTAAACAATGAATTCAATCGATTATTGTGTAATTGTCTTTTTTCTGTTTGTTTTTCCTTTTTTTTTGCGACACGATACGTATAAAATTATTTGCTTTCGTAAAGTGTTGAGTCAATGTTTAGAGAAGATTTGGGTTGGTTGAGATTCAAGAAAACACATTGTTCTTTGCCTTTCTTCTTTGCGAAAACATGAATCGTAGCCCTTCTAATGTGTTGAAATTTATTTTTTTGTGAAATCCCTTCGTGTTGAAATTCGTTTTATTTGTCTGTAGCATCATCAAAAACTATTTCTCCATGGAAAGAGTTCAAGTTTTGAGAGATGGTGGCTGAAAAATAAGGAAGAAAATGAAAAAAAATAAAATAAAAATATTAAATGAGCCTTTCACGCGCTGGTATTGAGTGTATTACACTCACTATGCCATGTCAGTAAAAAGTGTCAAAATGACACAACGGGGCATGACATGAGGTGTCTAAAATGAACAAAGCTTAGTTAAGGTGTCTAAGGGAAAAATTGGTGTCAACTTTAGTGGGCCACTGATGGGTTAGGCCTTTATACAATATTAATACATTGCATATACATACGACCATTTTAGTTGGAATTTTTTTTGACGGATGTACCGTTAGAAGCCCTTCTTTTATGATCTTGGGCACTGTCTCCTCATGTGCTATTTTGAGGCTGAGTTAGGACTAAGATAAGTTCATCTTCTTATCATGATATTAGAGTCAAATCCATTCTAATTCTTGATTCATTCAATTTCATTAGGCATGCAGAAAGGGTTAATTAAGAATGAGAATATCTCTTTATGTGGATTTGAACAATCCTTACTCTATTAACTAGTTGTAAGGGCTTAGGTAGGGCAAATTCATTTCTTATTATATTAGAGTCATATTCATCCTAATTCTTGATTCATTCCATTTCACTGGACGTGCAGAAAGGGGCTAATTAAGAATGAGAATATCTCGTGATACGGATTTGAACAATCCTTACTCTATTAAGTAGTTGTAAGGGTTTAGGTAGGGCAAAATTCATTTCTAATTATAATAATGCCACCAATACATAATTGGCCACACACAAATAGCAACCATGCTTTCCATAATTCTTGTTTTTTTGTGAAAATTATAACAAAACTAAAGTTGGTTAATTTAATTTCTTTGCAAGACAAACATGTACCATGGATGATATACATTGGTCCCCTTCAATTGTAGAATTTGGACTTGGTCTTTTGACATGTATAGGTTGGCTATAGATTTTTCAATTGGCCACTACATGTTAAAAAAATAAAAGTAGTTCATTGAATTAATTACAACGTAACATTTTTTCCAGGAAATTCATAGGAAAGATCTATTATTTTTCTTGTCTTATTAATAAGTTGAGCAGGGCATAGTCACTAATATCAAAGAGGATATGCTTTTGCATTCTTCAATCACATAAAGTTTATTGAAACAATACATTTAATAATGAAAAAGTAACATAAAGTTTATTGTGTAAACAAACAACATTTTCACTATAATCAAATGTCTGAGTACTTATGCACTTATATAGCCAATTTATCACTTGTCTAACACAATTGCAATTGGACTTCTCACTGAGTGCCTATTAGAAGTCCACTTCAAGAAACCCCCAACAATCACAAAGTTTGAGTTGTTGGTTGTCTTGGAAAATGTCACTTGGTATGTTAACTTCTGGTTCAACTCGGAGAAATTTAGCTCTGTGGGTTTAACTTCCACGACAACTCCTTTTGGTGAAGCTACCTCCACTTTGTAAGATGATGTCGCATCACCAACGTTGGTCACCGTTCTGGTATATGTTTGAGGAGTTGATCCAAGTCTGAATATGGAAAATGAAGGATAGTTTAATTGTGCTTCAGGGATACTTTTCACCTTCAAACAATTCACCTGACGTTGTAATAATTTACCTACCTCTTGATTGCTGTAGTTTAAACCACAGAAATAAGGTACATAGTCCTCAAATGGGGTATCATAAACTAGTCCTGGATCATTTGCCCTCGATGGATTAACATGTCCTGCACCAATTGCAAAAATGTCAGCAGGAAGGAGCCTTTCGTCTAGTATTGGACTATTGGCAAGGTTTAACGTGTAAGCGGTTGTCATGATTGCAGATTTAATAGCAGCAGGAGACCAATCAGGATGTGCGCTCTTCAGCAGAGCTGCTACACCACTAAGGTGAGGACAAGGGATTGAGGTGCCTGATATAATATTGAATGTGGATTTGGTGTTCTTGTTGTCATCCACGGAGGTAGGCCAAGCAGCAAGGATATTAACACCCGGACCGATTATGTCAGGTTTCAAGATTCCAGGACTAGCTATACTTGGTCCCCGAGAAGAAAATGCAGCAATTATTGGAGCATTTTTATCTCCAATTATTGTTCCTTGGAATGTGATTGTAGCAACAGGGTTTAATGTTGAGTTTGTATAAGCACGAATTCTTAATCCATCTGCAGCTGAAACATCCAATGCTGGAAGAACATGAGCATCAGCTGATTTAGTGACACCATAATGTGACGGTTTGATGACAATCATGCCAACACCTCCAGCACCCTTCACAACTTGTCCTTTATCAACACTGGAGACGCCACCGCCTGCTAGACATAATACTATCTTTCCTCTTATAGCAGGGTCATTGAGTGACCCTGGTTTGCAATAAGGGGTTTCCGATTGATCTTTTGCATTTATTCCAGCACCATATAGAGTGAAGAATGTTGAGTTGGGAATCTGTGGACGATAAGCAGATTCTCCTTCAAATTCCTGTCCATTTCCAAGCTTAACAGTAGCTTTTATCTTTCTATCAAGTGTGCTGGCACCTACAGTAAGAATCCACGGGGCTGCATTTATTACTGAGGCAATAGAAGGACCATAATTGCCTGCCGCACAACTTACAAAAATGCCTCTTTCTGTTGCACTGTACGCCCCGAGAGCAATAGGGACATCATAAAAAGGCCTCGGAGATCCACCAATAAGAATCCCTCTATCTGTTGCACTGTACGCCCCGAGAGCAATATTATCACTATGGAAAGGGACTGGACCTCCACCAAGGGACATTGAAAGAATATCTACTCCATCATCTATAGCTGAATCCATGGCAGCTAAAATATCACTGTCAGGACACTTGCCATTGGAATTACATGCCTTATATATGGCTATATGGGCAAGAGGAGCAACACCAACTGCAGTTCCATTAGCATTGCCATATACATTAGCACCTTTCACAAAGGCTCCCGCAGCTGTGCTTGCTGTGTGTGTACCATGTCCATTACCATCTATCGGGGAACCATTACCAAGTTGGTAAGACCTCGCTCCAATGAGCTTGTTGTTACACTTGTTGATGAAATTGGACTCACAAACTCCTTTCCACTTAGCAGGCGGGGGAGGCATCCCAACGTCACTAAAAGAAGGATGGTTTTCTGTTGCAAACCAAGAAAGCTTGGAGTATGAGTAGTATGCAAGGTGAAAATCCTCTGTTTCTGAGCAGAGACAAAGCCGTGTTTTTTCTCCATTTCCTTCACTTGTTCTGCAGTTAATCTTGCTGCAAAGCCTTTCATCACATTGTGATAGGAATAGATCATGGTAGCAGCCTCTTCATTTCCACTCGAGCTAATTGCGGTAGTAGTTTTAGGCAAAAAAGAAAGGTAATAGCTGTCTAAATCTGTTAACGTTGATTGAGTAGTAATTAGGCTTTCAGGGGATTCAACATGGACTATATAAGTCTCGAGATCACTTTGAATAGTAGGCCATGGGAAAGAACAAAAGATGAAAACAAGAAGGATTTTGAAGAATCCCATGGCTACAAATACAAGAACTGATAATGAATTTGATGAATTTCTCTGCTTTGAAGCAACTGTCTATTTATAGTGCTTCTTTGCTCATGACTTTAATTTAGCTATTGGAAAAAAAGAATAATGTGGACAAGAAAATTAATAGAGAGATAAGAAAAGAAAGGCCACTAAGTGTTGAATTGAACTTTATTCTATGAATTTGTAGAATTTCGAACAGACTTTCCACTGTAAATTTGCTTAATTATACTCCTTGGATGCAATGAACATACTGTTAAATCACTTTGTAATAAAAAGTTGCAAATATTCTGTCTAAATGAAGTTGCAATGCATGTTCTTATGGGTGGCAAATTTTGCCCATATATAATGACTTGGATCACTTATATTTTAATTGGTTAAATATGGGTTTCAAGCTATTTTAAGAGTCTCTACAAATATGGTCAAAATGAGTTAAATATGGATATCCATATTGATCCATAATAGATCACTTAGTTTTCATTTCCACTCAAAATTCTTAATTGTGGTAAAAAAATAAAAATTTAATATTAATTTTCAAAAATTCAATTAATTTTCAAACTTAATTGAAAAAATAGATTTTTTTTTTTGGATAACAAAAAAAATTTAGGGGTAGGTTGGTGGAAGGCGGGGCGCCCTGGGGTGGGGGTAAATTTTTTTTTTTTTTGGAAAACAAAAAAAATTTAGGGTCGGTTGGTGGAAGGTGGGGGGAGGGGGTAATTTTTTTTTTTGAAAAATAGATTTTTTAAAATGGGTTAGAACCATTTTATTTTCTTCCCTAAAAGGGAAAAGGCTCAAATATGTCGTCCAGCTTTAAGAAAAGGCTTATATATGATATTCGTTAAAAGTTTGGCTTATCTATGTCATTTACGATTAAGAAAAGCCTCATCCATGCACTTCAATATGATAAGAACATTAGAAACATGACATATTCAATCAAAGTAGACCAAGGTGAAAGCTGGTACTTTCTAAAGCGAGAACCATCCGAGAAATAAAATGGAAGACAATCTAATTAGATAAATATTTCTACCATATTTGCTAATTTTCTTTATAGTTTGAAGTAATTATATATTGTTCACTAATTAATACTTTCTTACCAGATTTTAGGTCAGATACACTGATCTATATACATGTATTTTTGCTACCAAATACACAAAAATAGAGAGAAAGGCGAGTGAGAGAAGGAGAGAGGTGACTGAGATCCCCAGATATATGTGAATCATCCCCATATACATTATGAGAATTACACAAAATACATGTATACTAGATACAGGAAGAGAGGCGAGTGAGAGAGGAGAGTGACATGTAAAATAGGAGAGAGATGAGTGAGATAGTCACTCAGATACATGTCAATCCATTTAAGTACAGTGTATCTAGAACAAATTACACTTAATTCTGACTTCATGTATCATTTGAACTTTTAAACTATTATTATCATAATAATTACTCGTCAAATTGGCATATTCTAATCATCAAATTCATTTACCTAACACAAGTTGACCCAAGACTTAATATCCCAACACAACTTAACTTTTATTAATTTGGTGCTGTGTTTTTATATGTGGAAATCCATATTTATATATTTATGTTCCTTTGAACAGCGTAAAAGGATGCAGAAATTCCTAGAAAAATTGGCACTTGATTTTCAGTCCACTTTATTCCTTGTGGGGGCACAAAGGACCAACATGGGCTGCTTGAAAAATATATTGTTAAATCAACTTAATAGACATCCATCCAAGGACTTAAATTAAAATTAGTGAACGGATATATAATATATGTATTTAATTCATGAATAATAAGTGTATAATCAATATATAATCTATGTATATCAAAAAAGGAAAGTAAACAATGAATTCAATTGATTATTGTGTCATTATCTTTTTTTGTTTGTTTTTTCTTTCTTTTAGGGCACGATACGTATAGAATTCTTCGCTATCGTAAAGTGTTGAGTCCCTATTTCATAATCAATTTTTTTATATGCAAAAGATAGACAATTCAATAAGAGCTAGCCAACAACAAAACTATTTGAAATGTTTAGAGAAGATTTGAGTTGGTTGAGATTCAAGAAAACACGTGGAGGAAGATGAACAGATGCAATGTATAAATACTGTATAAACATAATATATGAACATATATACATCTATGATACATAGTTATGCATCATATATACATAATAATACATTATTGATACATTACATATACATACGACCATTTTAGTTGGATGCACAGTTACATAAGAGCCCCTCTTTTATGATCTTGGGTAGTGTCTCCTCATGAGCTATTTTGAGGCCGAGTTAGGACTAAGATAAGTTCATTTTCATGATATTAGAGTCAAATCCATTCTAATTCTTGATTCATTCAATTTCATTGGGCGTGCAGAAAGGAGCTAATTAAGAATGAGAATATCTCTCTTTATATTGATTTGAACAATCCTTGCTCTATTAACTAGTTGTAAGGGTTTAGGTAGGGCAAATTCATTTCTTATTATAATAATGCCACCAATACATAATTGGCCACACACAAATAGCAACAATGCTTTCCATAATTCTTGTTTTTTGTTTTAAATTATA